CCACTGCACTGTAGCTCACCTGTGTAAGGGAGGCCATCCTATCCAGCCACCTGCAGCCTGCCCGCCTCCTCGGCCATCTCCCTTCTCAGCTGGCCAACTTCCACACGCAGCATCTCAGCACTAGACAAAGGAGGGGACACGGTGATGGCCAGAGCTGTTTGGAAGTTGTGGGTGCCTCTGTCTCTTCCTATGAGACCCATCCACACGTCTGAGTCCCTGCTTCTCTCTGAGCACCATTGTTAACACACAAGAAGCTTCACTGAAATGCTGGCTGCAGGTGGCATCTCCTCAGCTCTGCAGGAGAGGGACTCCCTGACTCCTGCTGAATGCCCCTTCCCCTGCCCCAGGTCTCCTACCACCTCCCGCTTCAGCCCTTAGACTCCTGGCAGCACCCGCCCTCGCCCTCCTTCTTCACTAGCTCTCACCTTGGCCAGCCAGTGGCAGTCTCCCCTCCCTGGCGTCCCTCTACAAGGTCAGTCTGTACCGGGCATTTTTGGACTTAAGTATAATCTAAACTTCTAACCCAGTTTGTTTTTTAAATTGTAATATGTTCTGATTTCTTTCCAATAAAATTGGATGCTCCTTAAAGGCAGAGATTGTGCCAGATCTCCAGAAAGTCCAGTTGGTTGTTTGACCCTCAGTAGATGTGTGTCCAAATGAATCAGAGAGAGCATCAGAAAGTGCGCCCTTGAGGGCAAGTTGCAGCCAACCTCTCTCCATGGCAAGTGATGAGACTTCACCTGATCAGGGCTAAATTCTCAGGAGAGAACAGGCCCCATCAGAACCTAGTCAGAAATACCTCCTTGCCCCATGGCCAGACCAGCCTTCCTACGACTTTGTGCTTCTTAAGAGAAGCAGCTTTGGGTAAGGATTGCACTTTCCCTTCCAGAGTCATTTCAGGTTCTGCATTACAGCAAAGGCTAGTGCCAGAGGCTCTCCATCTTGCATAGCTGCAAGGATGTGTCATCCACATTCAGGTGGCTCCTGGGGCACCCTGAAGTTGTGCAGTGCACAACCTGCACAGACTCACTGCCTGCGCTGGCAGCCCTCACTCTGAGTGCTGTTCACTGGGACATCAGGGCCAAGGACCCCAGTGGAGACTGCTTTGGGGAGTAAGATGTGTGTGGTTTAGAAAGTTATCCGCAGACGTCCATGTTTCCCCCAGTTCCTGCTCTCTGATAGCCAACGTGCCTCTTGGCTGCCTCTCTTCTCCCTCTTGACTTGGCCATTGTCCACAAGTGCCATGGAACAGACAGGAAGAAAATCTGCCATTACCAAGCAGCCACAACCCATGGAGGGACAGGGAAACAGGAGTGGTTGCGAAACTCCACCTCCTTTGTCCCGTGGTCCTGCTGATCTCGTGGGCTCCCAAAATCTCCTGACGCATGCAGCCTCTCTGGGGGCCCTGAACAGAGTGTGGCTGGACTGAGCTTCCTCTGCATCTGGGCACGAAGCTTGTCCTAGTGCTGTTCTGCTAGTGGTGTGTCCAGTGCTGATGGATTAGCAGTAGTCGTCACCAAGGTGATGATAACAGTGTGGTCATTTAAAAATATGATTCTCTGAAACTGGTCTCAGTCGGCCTCCAAAGGCTTCAGGAGAAAGCTGCCTTTTCCTGAGAAGCCTTCAAGGGAGAGGTGAGAGCCCACAGTGTGGGAGGAGCTAAGGAGTACAAGTGTGGAAGTGAGGTGTCTGTGTAAGAAAACTTAGCTTCTGTGAGGCATGAGAAGGAAAGAAGAGAGAAAGTAATGGAGGTAAAAAGAAAAGAAGTTGAAAAGTCGTGAGAAATTATAGAACATATGGGGCAATCTGCGCCTAGGAATAAAATTGAGAGTACGGGGTGTGATTCCGAGCACAGTATTAACCTTCTGGGAACCTTCTACACATGAAGGGGCTGGCAGTCAGGTGGCCAGCCCCTTTGGAAACTAGGTATGAAGAAAGAGCCACAAAAGTCAACATGGGGACAAAATATCTTGACTAAGAAAATATTTACATGAAAATCAACATGAAGGTAAGTATGAAAATTCTCTGGGAATTTCAACAACTTTTAGGGTTTGGGGCTTCCACAATTAGTAGTATTTAAACCCAGTGTATCTGGACTTTAGGGTGTGCAGAAGTTCTTCATGACCTCTGGGTTACAGTCCCCAGAAGCAGTCAAACCCTGGCTACGATGTTATCATCCCCAGCCAGTAAGGAACTGCTCTAAGTCCATATCCCTAGGAGGCGCCTGTGTGGTGAGCAAGTGTTGAAGGAGTAAGCAGAGGTGGCATGAAAGAGCTGTGTGTGCAATGCTAAGGGAAAAGAAAATTAAAAGTGACTCCAAATCTATTTAATTTTAATACTTTTGCCAAAATGGGTAGTTAAAAAAAATGTGTGGCCTCTTCCAACTTAAAACAAGGTAGTCCCAGAAAGCATTTGGAAAGATCAGGTTGTGTCTCTTCATCTCAGCTTCTCATTACTGGCCCCTTTATCAGGAGGACAACAGGTGATCAAAGTAGTTGTTGAGTGACAAATAACATGAGCAATTTCAGTCAGAAGAGACACTTAAGGTGTGAGATGAATTAAAACTCTAAAACACAAGAACAAACAACCAAAAACCCTTTACTATTGCAAAAAAAAAAAAAAAAAAGTGTTTTCGAAGCTGGTGCAGACATGGGGCAGAGCTCTTGGAGGCAGCATCCTGGGGGAGGAAAGTAAGGCCAGGTGGAGCGCACAGACACAGGAGCACTAGGTAAAAGGCAGCAAGATCCAGAGTCAAGATGGGACCCTAGAGGAAGTAGAAACCAGGAGAGTGGAGCACCTGAGCCAAAGTCTCTGAGGTCACAGACAGATGGTAGGGGTGATTAGAGCACAGCAATGTGCAGTAGCTTTGAATTCTAGCCCAACAGTTGTGGAGTTCATGCCAAGGTTTCTGGGAAAACTTGGGCGAAAGAGGGACAGGATTGTGACAATATTCTGGGAAGATTAACATGTCTGAGCATCTAGGATGAGAGAAGTGGAAGCAGGAGGGACTGATCAGTAGGTGTAATTATCCAGCATGACAATGAGGATGGGCCAGGGAGGTTCCACTGTGAAACACGGTGACGCCTTTGTTCTCTCACCAGTTGGGAGGGGTGAGGGCACAGGGAGGAGATTAAAGCATTCAGAAAGGAAGAACAAAACAAAGATTCTGGTTAAATATGGCTTATGCAAATGTTCCTTTTACAAAGATCTTCTAGGAAAGTCCCCCTTTGTTATTTTTCCTCTCCACGAACTTTTCTCCTTTATTCTTAATATAGGATCAAGTCAAGGATATGGTCAAAATGCCCATGAACAAACCAAGATAAGTTAGGTGACTAGGAATGGGAAAAGCCCCATGTCTATATGCTCTTACAAATGTGGGCTTTAATCTCTTCTGACCCCTCAAAACAAAGCAAACTGAGTTTAGTTTCATCAGTGCTACTTTGATAGAAACCTCAAGGCAGACTGGGCAGCCCTGGGTCTTTGCTGAGAGCCTAATGCCTGTCCACTGGGCTCACTTTCCACTGTGTGGTTGTGTTGGCCACGAAGCCAGACAGGCACTCAGGGCAAGCTCCTATATTAATGCATGTTCAGGCATGCTTTCTTTTGTTGGAGACACTTAAGAACTACTCTTGCTCTCCAAGGTCACTGAGCCACTCTAACTTTTTCTATTAGGCTCTTGGACTAAACTTGCCTCTTTATAATATCGAATTGAGTATGACTAGAATATTCATATGAGCTATCGTGAATATGAGTTCATCATGTGCCCCTTAGTCTTGAGCTGAGAATGACCAGAAATGTAACCAACATCTTCTCTTCTTGAACTATGATTTGAGCTAACCATGCTCAGGAACACACCTGCCCCTAAAGTGAGTCTCTACAGGCTCCCAGAATGGGACCCCCAGTGCTTCTGTTCTCCAGGGAGGGCACTGCTTTGCTGAGAATCCAATGTCTTCCTACTCATGGGGGTAGTAAGTCCTTCTCCATGCTTTTGCCTTCTGCTCATGCTCTTTGGCTTTGTACTCATAAGGAGCAAATCTATAACCTTTGGATACAACTGGTTTTACGTGGATTTAGAGGAAATAGGCAGAGTGCATGGCAGATGATGTACATGACCTGCACAGTTTTGCTTATTACTTCCAAAGCATTATGGGAACATTGTAGAGAAATCAGTTGTTTCCTTCTACAGCTCATACCCACAGCGATGGTCTCCTAGCTTATCTACCCTGAGGAATACTTACTAAAGTTGAAAAATGTCATTATCCAGTTACTGAGAAAAGTCGAGGAACTAGGTGTGTGGCTGTGCTGTTTGACCTCCATGTTCACTCTTCTACTCTTTGTATAGCACAGATCTTGTGGCAGGTGGCCTCTGGGAGCCAGGAAGACTCCACAGCAGAGAAGAGCAAAGTGTGCATTTCTGAGTGCTGCTTCTGACCATACTGCCTTCATAGGCTAATTGTTTCCAGAGATTTAGTCTTGCTTAGAGCAATAGTAAACAAATGTTTATGCTTAAAATAATATTTCTTGTCATGAGAAAACGTAAGGGTTCAGAGATTCAAAACCATTGCTTGTTCCTACACTCCACAATGCTTTTAAGAGACCAACTTGAGGGCTGGGGATGTGGCTCAAGTGGTAGCGCGCTCGTCTGGCATGCGAGCGGCCCGGGTTCGATCCTCAGCACCACATACCAACAAAGATGTTGTGTCCGCCGACAACTAAAAAATAAATATTAAAAAAATTCTCTCTCTCTATTACTCTCTCTCCTCTCTCACTCTCTCTTTAAAAAAAAAAGAGACCAACTTGAAAGTCATCAGGCTTCTCATCTTCAGTTAAAAAAAAAAATGATAGGATGAAACTAAAGAAATTTAAAAGAAAAAAGAAAGTAATAGACTTAGGAGCAGAAGTTAAATAGAAACAAGGAATAAGAGAGGATCAAAGAAGTCAAAGAAATATGCTGACCTCTGCAAGACTCAATGAAGACAAAAGAAATGTAGAACAAAAAAAATTTGTGACAGAACATATGAGCATATAAAAGATATTTTTAATTAAGAAAATATTAAAACAACAAAAGTATACTTGACAATAAACAACATAAATAGATTTATCAAAATTATTTTATTTATCAAAGTTACTCCTAAAGAAATAGAAAGAATGATGGTATCCTATAACAATTATAGAATTTGAATCTGGAGTTAAATATCAGGCTCAGATAATTTTACAAGTTAGTTCTACCAATATTCAAAAGCAAACAAAATGGATTTTTCCAATTTCATTTAATACTTTCTAGAGATAGAAAATGAGGAACTATTCTTCAATTTTTATGATTCAAGAATATCCTTGATCCAAAAACCAAACACTCCAATCTCATTTATGAATACATGTGAAAAATATTGAACTTAATAACTAGTAAATCAAATGTACTAGAAAATAAAAATGTAATCCATGATGCTTAGTTTAGACTTGTTTCTGGAATATAAGAGTGGGACTATTAAAAAACCTCTGACCACAATAATCATCTTAACTGATTAGAAGAGAAAAAGCGCATAATAACCTCAATATTGCCAAAAAGGAATTCATAATTTCTAAAAAGGAAAGGAACATTTAGCAATCCAGAAGAGGGATTTTCCTTAACCAAGAAAGAGTTCCACCCAAACACTGAAGCAAACATCACCCTTAACAGGGTCTGTGTGAATCTCTACACTCAGGAGTGACTCGGTGGGCTGACCCACCATGGCACCCAGGAAAACCCACCAGTCGGATCGCCTGCACTGGAGCCGAGTGACCCACAGCCCCAGGAGCTAGCCTCTGGGTCTATCACCATTTTCCAGGGGAAGCTGCCCATCCCCCGGGCTGCTCCTGGCCAGTGATAGGGACACTTGTGATGCTAGTGCAGCCCCCTGCTCCCTGAGGATGAGGAACTCCTCCAATGGACAAATTCAACTCCAGGATTTCCCATCTGCCTGGTCAAAACTGTCTCAGACTCTACAACAGTCTGCAGGCTTCCGAAGCCCCTCCTTGCCTCCCTCTCCTCCCATGGCAGGTGTCATGCTGGCAGCCATTCTGACAGTGGCTCCTGCTTCATGGCTTCTGCCCTTCACAGGCATTTCTCCCTGCACAGT